GGGCAGCCCCGGGCCGCCCCCCCCCCCTCTGGGGCCCGGCGCCTGGGTGGGTGGGTGGCGTTTACCTCCCGAGGCGCCGGGCGGGAGAGGGAGGCGAGCTCTCGGCGGCTCCCGCTGGAGTGCGAGGGGCGCGGAGGAGCGCGCGCCTTTAAGACTCTTCCCCGAGACTCCGCCAGGTGGTGTCAGGCCGGCCGGGCCCGGGCGGCTCCTCACCCCCGCGGCCACCCTGCTCCCGGCCCGCCCCGGGCACGGCCCCGGCCGCGCGCTCCCACTCCGCGCCCTGCGGCGCCCGCTCCTGCCGCGCGCAGCCCGGAGCACGGGAGGGCAGGATGGGGACAGCTGGGGACCCCCGGATGCCCCAGAGGGAGCCACTCATCCTACGCACTCTGGCTTAGGATGGCCTGGGGGTCGGCGGAAGCTATTTTTGGACCGGGTGCTGGGGCCGCGCGGGGGAGGGGGGCGCGGAGGAGACGGTTGGAAAGTCTTGTCCAAGGACGTGCGACTCCGTCCCCCACTGTCATCACCTCGGGACGCGCCTTAGGTCCGCGCGAAACCGGTACTGTCGCCCCTGATCCAAGATGGCGAGCTGACACGCCTCCCCCAATCACCGCGGACAGGACCCGGGGCGATAAAACAGAGGCAGAGCCGTCGCCACTTAAAACCGGGGGGGGGGGGGGGAGTGTCATTCACACTCCTGAAACAGGAAAGTTTAAGAGGACCCGAGGGAAGGCTGAAGGAACGCCAGTTCCTCAGGCGAGAAGCAGGAGTCGGCCTGGAAAGAGCCTAGAGCAACTCTCCCGCGTTACCTCCTCCAAGTTCAGGGTCGTGACCGCGTTCACGCGCGGCCGGCACCTGGGGGACCCCGCGCAGAGCTCCCCGCGGCCGCCGGGCCCCGGCTGGCGGGCACAAGCCATCCTTTTAGCTCCAGGCCGTGATCAAAATGGTAAAATCCTGTGTCTTCCCTTTCAAAAAAAGTATTTTTTTTTTGACATTTATATTGGGATTTCAAGCTGCATTAATAATTAACTCAGGTTTTGTTTTCACTGTTCACTATTTCTTTTATACAAACGCCTTCCTTGTTCCTGAGTTTCCTACTGTAGTTTCTGGCACAACTGAGATGTTGCTTTGAGAAAGCCTGAGGGAAGGACAGGTGGACGGTGTCCTTTCTGAGTCTTTGCCTGTCCAAGAATGTCTCTGTTCACGTCTACGCAGGCAGGAGGTAGATGTAGGATCCTGTAGGATATAGCACCCATAACCCTTCATTTACACATCCAACTTTGCAAGAAAGGGATGTTGTTAAGAGTAAACAGGGGAGGGGCGCCTGGGTGGCTCAGTTGGTTGAGTGACCCACTTCAGCTCAGGTCATGATCTCCCCATTCCTGGGTGGGTTCGAGCCCCGGGTCGGGCTCTGTGCTGACAGCTCAGAGCCTGGAGCCTGCTTCGGATTCTGCCTCTAGCATTTCACACCAAGTAGGAAGGCTATAGTGAAAAAGACAGGCAATAACAAGTTTTGGCCAGGATGTAAAGAAATTGGAACCCTCGTGCATTCCTGATGGGAATGGGGGGGGAGGGGAGGAAGGGTGCAGCCATTGCAAGACAGCCTGGCAATTCCTCAAAAGGTTAAACGTAACAGTTGTCATATGACCTTGCAATTCTACTCTTAGGTATACACCCAAGAGTAACGACAATGCAAGTCCACACCAAAACTTGTACACAAATATTTAGAGCAGCCATTGTTCATGATAACCCCAAAGGGATAATAACCCAAATCAGCCATTAACTGATGAAGGGGTAAATAAAATGCAGCAGATTCACGTACTGCAATGTTATTCGGCCACGGAAAGGAACGAAGTCCCCATCCATGCTGAAAATTGGATGAACCTTGGCGGACGGGATGCTGAGTGAAAGAAACCAGGTACCAAGGGCCGTGTGTCATAGGGTTCCATTTATGAGGACACGCCCAGAATAGAGAAATCCATACAGACAGCAAGGAGGTTGGTGGTTGTTTAGGGCTGGGGGTTGGTGGGGGTTGGGGGCCATGGGGAATGAATGGGAAAAAAAGTAAGCTTTCTTTGGGGGGGCGATATAAACTGACGATGGTTGCAACCGCCCCGGGAAAATACTCAAAACCATCGTATACATTTAATCTTTTTTTTTTTAAGCTTATTTATTTTTGAGAGAGGCAGAGACAGTGCCAGCAGGGGAGTGGCAGAGAGAGAGAGAGAGAGAGAGAGAGGGAGAGAGAGAGAGAGAGAGACAGAGAATCCCAAGCAGGCTCTGCACGGCCAGTGCCGAGCCACCCAGGCGCGCCCTGAAAAACCACCGCACTCTTTAACTGGATGAATTGGAGAGTATGCAAATTATACCTCAATTACAGAGGGTATATCAAAAGGACGTACTGAGCACAGGGTACGGATCAAGTGCTGGGGAAAGTACTGGTAATGCGGGAGTGGATGAGGAAATGCGGGCTCTGCACTCATGAAGCTTACGGGCATGGGGGGTTAGCTATTTCAGGGGCCCAGGATCTTCCAGAAGAATGAAGCCAACGCTTTGCCCCACGCACGAAGATTTCCACAACCCCTACAAAGGCAACACTAGCGTATTAACATCTTTTTCTTGGCCATGAAAGCAGAGAGCAACCACTGGCACGGCCGTGGCATGGTGATTACGAGCGGCAACCGTGGAACCAGACGTCCGGGGTCGGAATCCCAGCCCTGGCTCTGGCCAGCCGCTTGGACGTAGTGAAGACACTTACCTACTCTTCTATGTGCTCTACGTGCCCTTCTATGTAGCGACTCTTCTATGTCCCCTGCTTCTCTATGTGCGAAACGGGAACAACAGCTCCTATGTCATGAGGAGAGAGTAAGTCGGTATGTATAACATGCTAGCACGCAGTAGGCGCTCCATAAGTGCTAGCTGGTGGTACCGCTCAGTTATTGTTAGCCATCCGGCAAGCGCAAGGCCTGGTTCACAGACCTGCTGTTATTTCATGTCCCACCAGGTGGCGCAGACGCACCACCCGGCTTGGTTACCTCGGGGCTTTGATAAACCCAGCAAATCGTTTGCTCCGGCTGTGTTTGTGCCTTTATCCGTGAGCTACGGAGAGCGACGTCACCTGTAATGCGGCAAATTTCTCTAGTCACTGGGAAAAGTTTTCTCCAACCTGGAGAACCCAGTGCATGCGTACAAGCGAAGGGCATGGTCTTGGGTAAGATGTTCGCTGGGTGTCTGAGCTCATGTGCAGCCACGGAACTAAGGCTGTGAAGCATCCTCCCCTTTTTATTACAAAGAGCTCATGACATCCTCCCTGATCATCCTGAAATGGCACTTAGAATGATACAATTTTCCCACACACACAGCTTCCTCCCCCAACATCAGACCCTGAGACTAACATCAGGGAGAAATAAAAATGAAGTCACGTAAAGTAAAGTAACACACATTTCGATGTGTCAGTGCTCGGGCACAGCGACATTAGACGACCTAGTGGAAGAATTTGAATGTTGCGGTCTAAGGGTAGAATTGCCAGGAAACTTCAGGAACAAATGCGGTCTGGTCGAGATGGGTAGCTCGGGTAGCTCAAACAACCTTAGGCACCAAGATGCCGCGGGCGATACGATTTTCCAAAGCGGCCAATGTTTTTTGATCAAGTTGCCTTCCTGGAAATGTTAGTGTGTGTTAAGAACGCTTAACCGACTGAGCCACCGAGGCGCCTCCTCCCTCTTTTTAAATGTTTTTATTTATATTTGGAAAAGAGAGAGAGACAGAGTGCAAGCGGGGAAGGGGCAGAGAGAGAGGGAGACACAGAATCCGAAGCAGGTTCCAGGCTCTGAGTTGTCAGCGCAGAGCCCGACACGGGGCTCGAACCCACGAACCGCGAGATCATGACCTGAGCCGAAGTGGGACACTTAACCCACAGTGCATGTTAACACGGTGAATCAAGACAAAACAAAACGAATCCTTTGTGTTCGTTGACAAAATACAACTGGACTTGGCACGGATTTTTTTTTTTTTTTTCGTCTTTACGAACGTTCCGTGGGACACTGAAACGTTGGGCGGGACTGTCCCCTAGGTACATCGCAGCTGTCTGCTACCTGTGGTCCCCGATTACTCACAAGTGGTAGTGTCCCCCGATCACCATGATGGCCAAACTGCTTCCCCACAAACCTTCAGCTCAATGGTAACATCTGCGTCCAGGACCATTGGTCCAGGGTCAAAATGGCTTTGGGCCTTGCTGGCGAGGCTGACACTCGGTCAGCCTGGGGCGTAACCTGTAAAAGGCATTTGTTTTCCTCGAGTCCATGCAAATCCACTTGTCTGGGACAAGAGCTGGGACTCAGGGAGAGGACCAGCGAGAGGGAGGCTGTGGGATGGGGCCTTTCCTCCCGGGACCTCCCTACATGTAGCTCTTTGTGCGGAAGAGGGGAGGGGGGGCAGCCGAGGGAGGCCCAGGGGTCTGTGTGAGGCGTTTCCTAAAACCCAGCTGTGAAGTCAATCAGCACAGACATAATCCTGATTTTAGCCACGGGGGCCAGAGCCTTGGAGCAGACCCCTGGCTTAGGAGACTTTCCTGCCGCTGGTTTGCTTGGCTGGTCAGTCTCCAGCTATCTTTGCTCTGCTCTCTCAGGGATGGGGCGAGGAGACCAGGGCGCTTTGCAACAAAGTTTCGACGTGTTGGCCTGTATAGGCTTGTTGGCTGGGCTCCATTAATTATGTCCCCCTCCACCTGCTCTGGGGCTTTTTCCGGTCTGTGCATCTGGCCTCTCCTTTCTCCCCACGGTCATGGCACCTCTCCCCGCCCCCACCCTCCCCCCAACTCTCAGCTTGTCTGTCTTGAGAGGCAGGTATGACATGACCCAATCTCTCCGCTGGTATTCCTGGAATTCGGCTAAGTTTAGCAAACCCAGACCGGATCTCTCCCGAGCAGCGTTTCCACCCCTTCTGCCGATCGGTATCTTGGGGCCAGCTGGTCGGCTAGGACACAGGTTTTGACACCTCGAGAATTTCCTTGCAGGCTCTCTGGTCGCAAAAGGGCAGCCGAAGGGTCCAGAATGCTTCCCGCCATCAAACAAGAGTCAGAAGCCTTTAACTCTGTATTCCTGCTCTTCAGACAACAGTCCAAATGTCTCCTCACTCAGACATCCATACACCTGCAGCTGTAAGCCTACGTGGCTTATCTAATGCACAGACATGCATTGACCGCCTCCTGTATGCCATGCACCACAGTGCAGTGGGAACTGGGCACGCACAGTCCCTGTTCCCATAGGTGGAAAAGACAGACAATCACACGGTTATGCGACTGCAGCTAGGGGAGCGTAACAAGAAATACGGAAACCAGGTAAGGGACCATAGCAAAGACTAGGGTGAACAGAGCTGGGAGTCTGGCATCGCCGAGGAAGTGACATCCATGCTGAGACTTGATTGGTGAGGTGACAGCCAGGTGAAGAGAGTGGTGAGGACAGCACAGGGAAGGTCCCGAGACCAGGAGGCAGCTTGGCGTGAGCAAGAGATTGTAATAGTCAACATTTCTTGATCCCGCACTGCGGGCCCAGCCTGTTCTAAGAGCTTTATGGGGATCAGTGCTCCTGTTCACAGTGGTATGAAATCAAGTACTGTAAGCCCCGTTTTACAAATGAGGAAACTAAGGGGTGCCTGGGTGGCTCCGTCGGTTGAGCGTCCGACTCCAGCTCAGGTCATGATCTCAAGGTTCAGCTCACGGTCTCGAGGTTCCTGGGTTCAAGCCCCGCGTCGGGCTCTGTGCTGACGGC